TCAGTTGTGGCCAACTTATCATAGTCTTTGGAAAAATTTTGGTCACAATGTGTAAAATTGATGCCCGGAGGGGTCCTGAAAGTTTGGTGGCGATATCTGTAGCCGCTTAGGCGATATCGACGGAAAAGGACAGGGGATGCCTTTTCGCCCCCGTCCCCCACGGGGCGTGGGCGGAATCCATGTTTTTGTTAGCTTTCACATGCGCATGCGCTGCTTACTGGTGGAGCCAATTAATAATCGGTCAATTATTTACATTCAATTAAGCCTATTCATCCCCCACCACCCTAGCATGCGTCACCGATTGTGGATGAATATGAATGCATGGAAACTATCGATCGAACTTAGGCTAAAAGCGCCTATTAGCGCCCTTCTGTATTTGTGGTCCCACCATCTGCGGAGAAATTGAAGAATATGGATTCTTTAAAACATGCAAAAGTTAATTTGTCATGTGCATCTTACTAAATTGTGCCCCCATTCCTTTGCGTTGATGTCACAACACAGGGAAGCGCAGGAGAAGCCAAAATAATACGTGCGTGAAGTTAGCGTCGTATTCCGCGACGGATTGTGCGTCGAGTCCGAATTTCAACTAAGCCCAGCCTATCCGATGCAGTTTGGGACGCTGATTCCGAATATCGCATTCATTTCAAATTTCAAGGTCGTCTTCAAGGTCAAATCACGGATTGAAATGTTGAGTCCCCCATTTTTCTACACTGATCGTCCTATGCGATTTCTGATGGTCGCGTTCGATAGCTAGGGTCAGAATCTCGAGTTCCCTTAAAGGTCAAATCACGGATTGAAATTTTGAGTACCCCATTTTTTCTACACCGATCGTCCGATGCGATTTCTGATGGTCGCATTCGATAGCTAGGGTCAAAATCTCGGGTTCCTTAATATATAGTATATACCTTATTAAAAATCTTTGACCTTAAAGGTCAAATCACGGATTGAAATTTTGAGTCCCCTCGATTTTTTCTACACCGATCGTCCGATGCGATTTCTGATGGTCGCATTCGATAGCTAGGGTGAGAATCTCGAGTTCCCTAATATATACCTTATTAAAAATCTTTGACCTTAAAGGTCAAATCACGGATTGAAATTTTGAGCCCCCGATTTTTTCTACACCGATCGTCCGATGCAATTTCTGATGGTCGCATTCGATAGCTAGGGTCAGAATCTCAAGTTCCCTTTCATATACCTTATTAAAAATCTTTGACCTTAACCCTAGAACGCCTAGGGGGGGGGTTGTATCAACCCCCCCCCCCCCTGAGGGTTTTTCGAAGTGCACGCTAAACGGCTTGTCGTAGCGGGCTGAAATTTTCAATACCCTCTGGGGCAACCTTTGCGCATCTTTTGCCGAAAAAAATTGATCGGGTCATGTCAGGTCACGGAGTTATGACGTCATAAGAGGTACAGCCTCCGGCCGACAGTTACCAAACGTGTGCGCCGAATCCCTAGGTTTTCTGCCGGTGATACCCACATTGTTTGATGGATCATGATGAAACTTCCCATGCATGTTGGGGCAAGCATTGGCTATCGTGTGGTGCAAGAAAATTGACCGGGTCAGGTCAGGTCACGGAGCTATGACGTCACAAGAGGAACAGCGTCCGGTACTATTTTTGAAAAGCGCCCGAACCACTATTTTGCTAATTCTTGTCACCTCAATGGGAATATGCAGCAATATTAGCTTCTATAGGGAGCAAATGGACCTCCCAAATCCAAAAATACAATCAGATTTCAAAAATTTAAATTTTGATTTTTCGAATTTCTGCCGCCGACTGTGACCTTGCCGACTTCCGGCGCTCCCAACGCGCCATTTTTAGAGCTAGGGAAACGAAATACATACCAAACGATAGAGAATTGATCAAGGAACACGATAGTGAAGGTTTCAAGTCGATATCTCTCACCGTTTTGCCGCAATCGCCGCGGAAAGTTGAAAAAGTTTGATTTTTTTTCGGAAAATTTGACCTTTGACCGGTCATAAGTAGGTCAAATGTTGACCTAGAACCAAAAAATATACCACCAATCGCGAGATCTCGTTGAGAGCAATCCGTTGGTTTTTTCCGCTAAGCTCTACGACCTTCCGTTTCGAAACGCCAGGGGGGGTCGTAACAACCCCCCCCCTGGTCGTTCGTGTTATGAGAAATGGCCTGGTAGTGCGAGGGTTAAAGGTCAAATCACGGATTGAAATTTTGAGTCCCCCCGATTTTTTCTACACCGATCGTCAGATGCGGTTTCTGATGGTCGCATTCGATAGCTAGGGGCAATATCTCGAGTTCCCTAATGTATACCTTATTAAAAATATTTGACCTTTAAGGTCAAATCATGACCCAAAGGTCGGGAAAATCGGAACCTTCTAGAACTTTGTAAAGTAAAGCTGGTTTTTTTGGGGTGCTGATCACGAATTTCATGTTAGTTTGATCACAGATGATGTGTTGACGCATTTAATCCGGGTCGGGTCAGATCAGGTCAGGTCAACCATCAGGCGTCCTGCCACTGACGGCGTAGGTGTCATATAAGTAGGTCCGTGTCATACTACATACAAACATACATAGATACATAGTAGGTGTCAACTGCCACTGACGGCGTCGTGACATGTTACGAAGGCACTAAAACTAAGTTTCGTAAATGTTCAAATGGATTCTAAATTCGAAATCAGCCCGAAAAACTACCCTAGAAACATGTAAAACACGAAAAAGTGACCCGAGGTCATCAAAGGTCGATGACCTAACCTGACCTTCGGGTGACCTTGACACCCACCGCAATGCATGGGACGAACATCATTTCATATGTTTGGACGTTTATAATCACAAAAAGACTGAAAACGCGCGGATAATGATTAATGTGAGCCGACATACGCTGAATCGCGCGATTCCGGCCAAACATGGCCTCGAGAAATAGGTCACAGTTCAAAGGTGACTTGGGTCAGGGTCATGAAATTTTCAGATTAGGTGTAAAATTTATCAACTCGAGGATACTGAAAGTCTCGTTGCGATCGGCCGCTTTTTGCGCCAGTTATTCGCGAAAAACCATTGGGGGGAGGTCCATCCGACCCCCCCTACACATGCGAGGGTTAACCCTCGCCCTGGCAGGGGGGTCGATGCAACCCCCCCCCTAAGGTTTTTCGAAGATAGCGTAAAAACGGCGGCGCGCAGCTGGCACAGCCTATGGGGCAACCTTTTTACATATGATCTGAAAATTTCAGGTCCGGGTGACCTTGGGTCAGGTCACCAGGTCAAAAAAACCGGTACAAGGTCATGGTCAAATTTCAATTTTCTTTTTGCACCTGTCCAACTCACAGTTTTGGACTGATTTCCTTAAAACTTTCAGGATGTGCTAAGTTCACCGAGTTGTATAACATATAGTTCGGGTTTTTTGAGGTCACTGACCTGAGGTCAGTTAGAGGTCATTACGTCGTAATGTTAAGCCTATGGGAAAATACTAAATTCGGAAAGTACTGGAGATATCCGCTTCGTTCTATCACTTTTGTGCTTTGAAACCACAGTACTTAACAGCAGGTCACTTTGTGCTTCTTTGTTTGGTGTACTTATCCATGGGTCAGGTCAAATAAGGTCAACTGAGGTCAAATGACGTTTTTGCCAATAACTTGGCACATAATGACGCTAGAGCTTAAAAATGGTATCATTGTGTTCCTGGTGATCAGCCGAATCGAATGATATGCGATATGATGCAATTTGGTTAACTTGAACTTAATTTATTAATTTAAGTTTACTTAAAATTTAAGAAAAACTTTTAGTACACTTAAGCAAGCTAAAAAGTATATCATTCGACGCGCCTTGACGTGCTAAGTTCAGTGGTGCTTTTCTTTTTGCTCTTTCTTAATTAGATCAAAAGTTATAAGCGAAAAACATTTGACCGGTTTTTAGCGAAATTTTTACATTTATACCCCCAAAAACCCCTAAATATTGACCTAGAGCAACCAAATTTGCACAGGTGCGAGAATTCCAGGGGGCCCACCTACCTACCAAATTTGGTGTTTCTAGGTGCCATAGGAGCCAATCGCGAGGGGGGGGGTCGCATCGACCCCCCCCCCCCTGCCAGGCCGTGTTATGAAAAATGCCCTGCCAGGGCGAGGGTTAAAATGTGTCTGATTGATGCGTCTTTTTAGGTGTGAGTTTTCATTACAACAAGTTCTTCACAGCAAGAGTGGTCGACATGTGGAACGGTTTACCAGAACATGTGGTATCCAGCGACAACATCAACCAGTTCAAGAGAAAATATGACCAACATGTCGCAGAACAAATGACGAGAGGGGGTAGCCACTACGAGCATCCTTAGTTTGCTCCCTTACCCCCGTATCCTATCTCTTCGGTATAAGCATCTCTTCGGTAAGCATTAGATGGCAGGGATGCGGAGCCGTGGAAATTTCAGACGGCTCCGGCTCCGGCTCCGGCTCCGGAGAAAAAAATCGGCTCCGGCTCCGGCTCCGGCTCCGGGTGAAATGTCATGGCGGCTCCGGCTCCGGCTCCGGCTCCGAGTAAAATGATCCGGCTCCGGCGGCTCCGGCTCCGGCGGCTCCGGCTCCGGCTTCTACTCAGTACATCCCCTATGCGATCAATTAAATACGGGTGGAAGAAAAAAGGCGATGGGATTGGTACACGTTGCTTCTGTATTTGTATAACAAGGCTATTTTGAATACCACATTGTTTTACGCCTTGTACTGTCAAACCGAACTAGGTAAATAATTGTTTCCTCTTAAGAAAAGGAGCCGGAGTCGCCCCCTTTTTTGACGGCTCCGGCTCCGGCTCCGGCTCCGGGCTATATTGTTTTACGGCTCCGGCTCCGGCTCCGGCTCCGGGCAAAATATGCCGGCTCCGGCGGCTCCGGCTCCGGCTCCGGCTCCGGCTCCGCATCCCTGTTAGATGGGTCTGTCGAAATTGTTAAAACGGACTACAATGTGGCTGATTGTTTGTTCCGCATTTACGTTTGATGGCTGGAAAACTGCATAGAGTAAACAGAAGAATAAGATAAAAAGATGAACAAAGTAACAAAAAGACGTATATTGAGGCACAGAGCAGCATATTTTGATAAATCCAACCGGTTTCAAAGACCTCTCGTCTTCGTCATCAGGGGTTGAAATATACAGAAAGGAGAAAGGTTACATATTTAAGCGCTGAAGAGAATAGCTATAATCATGATTATTATATGATAGATTATTATATCATGATTATTATAGTCGGTGAACTTTCTCTAAAAGTGACTTCTCATCAAGAAGTTAGTGGCTGGTAAAAAGTCGTACAAAAACCTCTTATTTTCACACAAGTTATAATGGACTTTTACGGCTTTACCATTATGTATTGTATAGAACAGACGGTAGATAATGAATGTATTGTGCAAGTAAGTACTTTGAAATAATAAGTAGACTACCTCGTCGGATAACGCAGATGTGTGCATGGTCGATTAGCCGTTTTCAAGACGGGCTATCCGGCGAGTGCACCTAATTTACCAAATCTGCACCCAATCTCTTGTACAGCAAATATCTTTATTTTATGAATTTATTTCAGTGTTTTAATCGATGATACTCTCTGATAATATGACAAAGCAGGCATATAAGCAAATAGTGCAGCCCTAGCTGATAGCTACTAAGAGACACACTGAACATAATTTGACCAAATCTGCACCTAATCTGCACCAGATGTGCACCAAATGTGTACCAGATGGCCGTCGTGAAAACGGCTATTGGCAACATTCACGTAAATAGGGAGGGTGGTGGTGGAGATATGACCTGCCATTCTGCACATAGGTGATCTCAATTATATTTGACACACGATGCGAGATGGACCATTCACTAAGCACATACATATGTATCTCAGACAGAGCTAGGCTCATGCCTAGATAATTCAAATGTCCTACACAACAAAACCTGAGCATTGGGTACACAATCCAACAATACGGACACTTGGTCCTGTATAATAGATACAGTTATCAGCCGATTTGATCCAACGCATCAATATTGCTTATATGTCCACCGGATCGGCGTTCTTATCGTGAGGCCAGCTCCTCAGTTAGCGGCTCTTCACCACCAGCCACGTGCCTCCCTTTTCGACAAGCGTCCCGGCGGACGGGTCCAGCTCGGGCCACGGTCCACCGGTCTTCGGTCCCGGCTCCAGTGAGCACCTCTTCAGCAGCGCCACCAGCACCAGCTTGGTCTGCAGCATCGCGAACCGCTGCGCGATACACCGCCTGGGACCCGCCCCGAACGAGAGAAACGCGTGAGCCGGCCGCGCGCCCTCGAGCTCTTTCCGGAACCGGTCCGGAACGAACGAGTTCGGGTCCGGATACAGGTCCGGGTCTCTCTGCAGGGCGTACGGGCTGAAGTAGACCATGGTGTTGACTGGCAGGGTGACCTCCGTTCCCGGGAGGGTGTAGGGTCTTGTACAGCAGCGGCTCAGCTGGGCGACCGGGTACAGCCGGAGAGTCTCCATGAGGACGCTGTCCAGGTACGGCATGGAGCTCAGCGTGTCATAAGTGATGGCGTCCGAGATGGGAGGCAGGCGGTCGTCGATCTCAGCCTGAAGTCGCTGCTGCACGGCGGGGTGGAACGCCAGCAGTCGCGCCGCCCACGCGATAGCGTGGGTGGTCGAGTCGTGACCCACGTAGTAGAAGAGGATACACTGAGCGGTTATCTCATCGTCTGTCAGTCTGCACTCCGGCTTCGGACTCTGCTGTGTGTCCAGAAGAAGCTGAAGAAAGTCGTTTCTTCGCTTCTCCGGGTGCGCGCGGCGTTCTTGGATTATCCTCTTGGTCACGCTCAAGAAGCACGAAGATCCAGAGTTATTTTTGGTGAACTTTCGGATCTCAAAGCGCTTACGAATACATCCAGGCAATGCCGAAATGAGCGACAGAAGGGCTAGCTTCTTCATCGACGGGCGCTGCGACAGCTGTGCAGCTTTTGAGGCAACGACTGAGTCTGGCCGACGAATCGAGTCGGCATCCAGCCCGAATGACACTGAGATGATGTTGTTGGTCGTGTAGCGAGACACCAGCTGGTTGATGTTGATCTCACCATGCGCCTTTGATTCCAGCACCATCTGATCTGCTATCGCAGCCGCCTGTTCGGCGAGGGCCGGGAGCATCTGGCGAAGTTTTCCCGTCGAGAACACTGGAGTCGATGTGCTCCTCACATCTTTCCATCTTTGACCGTGGAGGTTGGTCATCATCTTCGACTGCACGCCATGCTCAGCAATGCTCTTGGGTTTTCTGATCGTAAAGTGATCAAAGTCAGTCATCATGATCGCCTTGATGAGCTCAGGATCAGAGACCGCCAGCGCAGGCCCCATCGGTTCAATGAAACCAATGTACCCACCTGCCTCTTTGGCCTTCCAGTAGAGCTTCATGTTGCTCTCCAAATAGGTCTGCTTCACAAGTTCCCAGCCGCTGAAGCCGAAAGGAAATCGATACGGGATGTGCGGCACGTTCCTGCTGCTCCAGTAGCTCCGGTAGCGGGACAAGTAGAGGTAGACGAGGGACACCAGTGTCACCAGCAGCCAAAGAGTCACAGGCCTGAACACGGTTGACAGCAGCCTGCTCGTCCATTGTCCTACCAGGGGCGCTAGCATGGCAGCGCCAGCAAGCCAGCTGACGAATGAACCTCGGGTTTTCTTCGACGCGAGATTCTATCACAGACGAATCCCTCTGTCCAGCTCCGTGAGCCGCGTTCTGTCCGGACGCCACCAGCCAACTGACCCACGGAACTCCGAGCCCTGCATCTTCGGCTTCACGTCACCATACACATAACACGGACATGTAAATCCCCGATCGTTATGCAGAGCGGATTGTTCTGGGAATGCGACGCCCCTGGAAGCTGACGTGTCCCTATCTGAGACGCAGCTCGCGCAATCCCTTCCACCGGAGGCGGTGCGTCAGCGGAAGAAGCGACGGGATGGGACTTCACTGGAACTCACCATCCTCCCCCGCCGGGGAAGCCGTGGTGCACGCCCCCGACCGCCTCCACCGCTCTCGACCAAGCCTTGGTCTTTGAATAAATTTTAAGCTGCATTTTGTTTTGTTTTGTTTTCACATTTCTTAGGGCATTATGCGATAAGGTAGTCCTAAAGAGTAGACCCAATGCAAATGACGGTGACGTAAGTGGCAGCACGGTTCCGGGGCTCATTCATGACGCATTGAGGGGTTCCTCCGTGCAGACCGCTCGGCGTATCACGTCTGGGGGACGAGGGTGGGTGGCCTCAGACCAGCATGCATAAGACAAGATTACAAGAGGACATTGCTGCGGCTGGCACAAACATGACCATTCGTACCGTGAGTCACAAGTTTGCATAGACAGACACGCGGGTATTCACTGCTCAGTACTTTTTTATTGTACAAGAACTGCTTATCAGTTGTTTTTCTCGTCGGGACTTAGTCCGGCCGGGCCCCGGGAGTAGTCCCACCCACCTCAGCCCAGAGAGGGGAGACGCTCTTCACCCCCCCCCCCCCCATAGAAGAATCTACGGAAACATTACCAGGTGGCAGGTACTGCTACGGAAAGGCCGCCAAAGGAAATGTCTCCAAGAGACGATGCTATAGCATCTGATTTTTAGGTCAATTTTTAAGGTAAAGACCAAATGCAGAAACCGGCAGCTCATGTGCAGTGATCTCAAGCTATGGTTTTCAGAGGATGGCAGGATGCGTAAAATCGGGCAAAATTGGTTGAAAACTAATGAAAACTTTCATAGGAATCCGATGATGTGCTTGAAATTCAACACCAAGGTCAAAGTTATGCTAAAAATTGACCTCAAACCTTGTATTTTTCGTATTTGTAATATATCGGATTTCAAAATGTTTTGAAATATTTTTGAACATATTAGGCCCCTATGATGGTTCATGTAACAAAACAAGACTTCCCAAAGGATGCGGATGTGTCAGAGTTTCCTTGCTAGAGGCTATTCAACGAATTCAAGTCACCCATTATAATTCAGCAGCAATTTGGCTATAGTGAGGCTCTTGAATGAACGTCTAGAGCAAAATGGATGCCGGATTCGTGATCAGCCGACAAATTACATAGCATATGACTTTTCGTGCTTCAAGGCCATCCAAAATCATTCTAAGTCATTCCAGGTCGCATGGGGTCACCATATAACTTAACCGTTTCCAAACAAGATGTGTGTTATTTGACGAATCTTGACACGACGAATGCGTTGTAATGTAAGTACATACTTGCCACTACTGATTAAGCACTATAGGATCATTTTCATTAAGCTATTTGTGAAAAAGTAAACCCCCAGCTCGGGGTCTTTTGCATGAACTCTTACCTCAGGCAATCAAAATTATCGTGCATTTTTGCATATTTCATATGTTACACAGCCGTACTCGCCATTGGTCATTCCCTTGAAAACTTTTTTTTTACAGCTGTTTTGAAGATTTCGTCTGTGATGTCGAAATTTGTAGTGCAGGGGTCTAGAAAAGGCAGTCCTGTGATATCATCAGGGGGATTAGGTCTTTTTTTCTTCAGAAAATCTCAAATTGATGGAGGGAAAGGTATTGGAAGTATGGCGAATGGCGATCCTATATCTCTAAGCATCCGGGAGCTATCGCAAACATCCGTCAGGGCGAGGGGGAGGGGGCGAAAGACGCCTCCTCCAGACCTGTGAGGCTTAAATATATGAAAAGCTACCATCCTGTTCATAGATATTTGCGAAAAAGCAGTGATGCTTTATTGTGCACTGCACAATAAATTGCACAGCCTACCTAAATAGAGGGTGCAGATGTTTCCGTCTATCGATAGGATCTGCAGGGTTCTGCTCTGGGCTGCACTGCTATCTACAACTTCTGGACTCAATCAGTAGTTATATAGTTAGGTAGCTATGTAACTAGGTAATATGAGGAAGCTTCGGAGGGAATGGCTGACGCTTGCTAAACGCATAATAATTATCATGTGTCCTGTGATTGTATTTAATAGGTTAAGGTATATGTGATCAATCATTTCAAATTTTAATCGGTAGCACACAACGAAGACATCCATCTTCTATTCCAATCCTCGTAGACAGTAGTTTATCAGCATTTCTCATCAATAATTACTCTGTTCCGCTGTTGGGCTCACACCGGCACACATTCTCTGCCGTACCGTATGTCTCCAGAGCCAGCGCCGACCGCAGGGTTTGCGTGAACGAGAGGCCGGCGCGTGCCGGTGCGCTGGTGCCTGTCCAACTGCCGCCGTGACCCATTCACGGTCCGTGGGGGCCACCCAGAGGAACCGACTCGGTGGGGAGGGGCGCCCGCACAGAGCGACAGCGGGGGGCGGGGGGGGGGGGGGGTAATTGACTTCCTTCATGGCATGACAGGGCTGATCTCGAGGGCGAATATTGGGAGCAAGTATGGTCGGTTTGAGGCTGAAATGGGACCACATGTAGGGACCGTTTACAATGTCTGATCGGTATCTCATGTTTTGAGCATTTCTGCATTGGGCATTTGGCATTTACCGATCTATTTTGCGTCAGTCCTTGCGATCTAAATGTGATGTTTTTAGCCTTATGACAGGAAAGGCACCGAGTGTTATATATACCTATCTACATTGCGGTTCGGTCACATGTTAGCAGACAATGCGGATAGACGATGCAAATAAACAAAGCTGGTGTCCTGAACAATCTTTACCAAGAACTTAGCTGCAGTTCATTGCGCATACCTACTTTCGAACATGAATCGTTTGTTAGCGCATCGAAACTGCAGTTTTAGGATACGAATTTCTGTTTGTAAGTATAGCATTTGCAAGTTCCACCATCCTCATCATTGCAAAATGTGCATTGTGCTGCTGCATATATGTACGCACAAAAATAATTTAACGACATGGCTTGAAGCGGCACTGCTGGTGAACACGCAACACCGCTAGAATCGTGATGTACGTGACATGATGTTGCATAATGATAATAGTATGCATGTTACAGAAAGCTTCAAAAGGAGTGCAAGTTTCTTATGTGGCATATGTTTCTCGGTTTGTTGTCTGGAAAGCTTCGTTGCAAGTAGTTAGAAAAGCACTGGAAGTGGTTAAAGCGTATCGGTAACAGTTAACCCTCGTCTTTTGAAGCAGCCAGTTGCCTTCGTGAGTCATTTTTTCATCGCCCCAATTATTTCATTGCTACAGTAATTATTGCCAAATAACGTCATTTTGTTACAAATGATACAAAGGACACATGGTGGTTTTGCCATACCGGATGAAATTTACCGCCCGATGTGCCACACCACTGGCAGCCATCCATGTGTGGAGGGCGGAACAGGGTCAGTGGGCGACGCCCAGGTCACCGGGTCCTTACCACAAGTCACTCCCCGGCGCACAGTGGAGGGCGACCTCGACCCCGGGAGTCACTGCAGAGGAACCAACCGTATAAGATCGACTCGCCGCCGGCTGACGGCACCAGTCGCCCTCGGCACACAGCACCAGTCGCCCCCCAGCGCCCCAACACAACCCAAAATGAAGGTGAGTAGCACGGGTGTTCTGTCGACGAGCTACGCTTGGCTTGTGGCGTGTGACTTGAAACTGGGGAGACGAGAAAGCAAATAGCGTACTGCACCGGCAAGTCAAGAGTCAAGCGCTTGCCGGTACTTTGAAGTCGTTCCACTGTGAGTGAAAACAGTCTACTTTAATTATTGTGCAGATCGTTCGATCACAGATCACTTTTTCTTTTCATTTTATCTTCATAAAATACTTTCAAAATTTTCTGTAGGTATTTCTCATTTTTCATTTAAACTGCAGCGTGATCAACAGAAATATCAGTAGAAACGCCGCCTTTCCTGACAATCTATAGGCGGTTTAGAGAATGTGCAATGATCCTATCGATGGCTTCACCCATACATATAGTTATGTAACATCTGATTTTGGAATTTATTTGTTGCAGTGCCTGTTGATCGCCAGCCTCGTCGCCGTGGCTGTGGCCGCTCCCCAGTACGGACACAACGACTACCATCGCCCGTAAGTAAATAAGAGCAGGCATTGTATAAAAACAAATTCGAAGTGTTAATGACATAGAGCTGGAGAGAAGGAAGTGTATTCACGATTTGTTTTGGAAGTAAGCGTATCATTTCATGAGAAAATTGACAGATGCTTGCTAACCTTCCGGGTTCTGGCTTTATTCGTAAGCGAATTCGTGAAATAATTCATTAAATGGAATCATTTCATTTTTGCCGTTACGTGGTTAAAGTGTCCTTTCAATCGCACCCCTTTTGACCCATCTGTGTGTACCGTGTCACAGCAACCTTCAGCTGACCCGTCTGTCTATCCATGCTGTAGGTACTCGTACGACTACGCCGTGCACACGCCGTACGGCGGTCAGTTCTCCCAGTCGGAGCACAGCGACGGCCGCAGCGTGCAGGGCCGCTACGGCGTGCAGACCAAGGGAGGCAGCACGCACGTCACCTACTACGGCGACCACAGCCACGGCCACGGCCACGGCTACAAGCCGGCGCCCGCCTACCACAAGCCGGCGCCCGCCTACCACAAGCCGGCGCCCGTCTACCACAAGCCGGCGCCCGTCTACCACAAGCCGGCTCCCGTCTACCACAAGCCGGCTCCCGTCTACCACAAGCCGGCTCCTATCTACCACGCTCCCGTCTACAAGCCGGCTCCCGCCTACCACTAAATGACTGCAAAGTCCGACATTATAATGCAAGTTTCCGGAAATGCTTTTCAACATGATACGGCCGAATCAAGACGATTTCTTTACTTTAAATGTGTTATAGTTCGGATGTTTTTTTCTACACATATCTAATTCCTTCACTCATTCCTTCTAAATAAGAAGTAGGTCGTGGTGTTATTCACCTCAACAGGCAATGTGCTAGGAATGTGATAATTGCTAGAACCTTCATGCTCTGTGAGTGTGAATCGCGTGCATGTATTTATTTCAAATATACTCTCAGATGACAGGTTTTGAGTGTACTTAAAAATGCAACGGCACCTGACGACAGGGAATTTTCCAGCCTTGCTGCCATCAATAGGTATTGGGTAGGACGGCGTGGTACTGGCAAGTGTGATCGAATTTAGTTCAGCTCATGGCACATTTGGAATGATAAAGGATTAAATGGCTGTTACCGCAGTTACCACTCGAGGCAATATCTGCATAGACACTCTCGAGTCTCGGTATCATTTCTCGTTGCCATTTTAGTTTTTTCTTTAATGAGTTTTTCAGCATTATTGAGCAATGTAAGTAGAGCAAAAAGTGCGAATTTCGACCTTCTTTTCAGAAAAAAAGATAAAAAAGCTTTTAAAAGAGGTATACATCAAACATAAAAAATCATAAAGGATAACCATTTTTGATTCTAAAAAAAAGGTGATCACAGATCAAGAAGTACAGAGCAATGCACTGCCTCCACCACTGCTCCAATGTTTTCTGCCAGTGAGTGCAGGCGCCGGTCGCCGGACAATTTAAACCGGCCGATCATCGACCTCTCATCAGCCGTCACCACCTAATGACGAATGGATGCCACCTCTGTGTCATCCCCCATTGGTCGGTGGAGCCACTGGGCGGGACCTCGGGCCGAAATCTGACCGCCCATTGGTCGGGTCCACCCGCCGGGTCGGGAGCTCCTCGCGCGGCCGCCTGGGTCCGAAATCTGTGTGTTTCTCACATCAGACCCGTGCGGTGCGTGCAGACTGGTTCGGTGATCACGGAAGGAGACTGCGCGACCCGTGCGACGGCTGCGTTTTTAGGTAATTACTTCCGCATGTGTCGCCAGTGACCACAGCTCCAGATCGTGTTATTTTCTCATTTTGAAGCGATTTTGAATGTGCTAACAGATGAGTAAAACAGGGGGGGGGGGTGGGAGTTGATCATTTCCATCTAGCCTTATTTCTCTTCTCCAACGAATATAAATCTATTTTCGCTTTGCCACCCCGTTGAAATGATCATGCTATGGAGCTACGCTTTGCCCGTGATGAAAACGCCACAGAGTTTACCCGTCAAGTAGGCTGGCAATTTGTCTTCAAAATGCAGCACGTTTATAATCAGGTAGGGTTCAGCGGCACTGTTGATCTAAACGCCAACAATTGCTAGGAGCAAATCAATTTTACGGATCATATTTAACTTTATTTCGTGTATCAGCAATCAGCATTTATGCAAAACTGTTAAATTTTGAGGACATTAATCCAAATCCATTGTGTGACCTGTCCGACGTTCCCCCAAGTTCCGACTACTAACTACTAACTGCCTTATGCGGTCACTCAGCCCGGGATCGACCGATCGCCAGGTGAGGATGGTGGACTTTTGCGGCCGGTGGCTGGAGTCGGCGGGGTACTACGGCCGGCTGCTGGACTCTGCGCAGGGAGAAAACGGCAGCCGACTGCTGTACAGCACGGCCTGCCTGCTGGAGCAGTCCTCCACCCAGCAGCAGCAGCAGCAGCAGCAGCAGCAGCAGCAACAGCAGCAGCAGCAGATGGCTGGGCCGGCCGGCTGGGCAGCGGCCGTCAGTCAGCAGCAGTGGCCACCGGCGCTGGGTCAGCTCTCAGCGCGCGCTGATACCGCCGCCCGGACGGACGGCTGGCTGACCGGTGACACGGTGACACGGGCTGGCACCGATCCGACACAGACACCGGTGTCGGCCGCTGATCTGACGCCGGTGCAGGCAGTGACACCCTACTGGCCTACAGAAGGTGAGCTTCGAAAGCGGTGATGCACGGATTTATTTTTGGGTTCATCGCTTTAGGAAACATTTCTAGTGGGTTCTAGAGGGTTCAGAATAAATAGAAAATAGCTATTGCTAGTTGAAATTAATAAAACATAATAAAGGAAACAGCCAGGTAAAAGTGTCTTTAAAAGGGTCAGCCCGGGTTCTATGTTAGGTATGCTGCCGTCCAAGACATTGCCTAAAAGATTTGAACGTGCCTTTTCACACCCTTCTCCCTCGAAATGTCTACCGATTTGACAGCCTGACCAGACGCTCTCCTGTTTCCTCGACAGACTGCGGTCTGCGGCTGTGCGCTCCTGACGGCGAGGAGCAGGAGCAGGAGCAGCGTCCCAGGAAGGAGCGCACCACGTTCACCAGACAGCAGCTGCAGGATCTGGAGAGGGAGTTCAACCATTCCAACTACCTCACCCGGCTCAGGAGATACGAGATCGCCGTGGCGCTCGACCTCTCCGAGCGACAGGTGAGAAGACGGCGGACGAGAATCGCTTAGATTCTATCGCTCAGAAACTTATCAGCATTACTTATAAAGAATGCATTTATAGATCACCATCGCGACTTCTCCATTAACGATCAACTGGAAATTCATAAATAAGCTCGTGCGAATGCCTGCATACCAGTGTAGAGAGCAAAGGTCGTAAGATGCATATATATTTGCACCCAAAGGATCGGCTTACCTAATAGTTATCTCGACTTTCCGACTTAAAAAATGTTTTTTTGTCCGGCAGGTAAAGGTGTGGTTCCAGAACCGCAGGATGAAGTGGAAACGGACCAAGGGAGGTCGCCCTCAGGATCAACCGGTCTGATAGTCTTGGCCGACCTCTTCTGGTCCCAGTATACCCCAGCCTGCACTGGTCCGAGACTGAGGTGGCTTTTAAAACTGATGTGGTTTATAAGTGACTCCATATAAGACTGGTTATAAAATATGAACGAAGTAAAATGTTAAAAAAAAGACTGGTTATAAAGTGCGCTTATCCATGAGCTTGGCGTAGATCAACTGAGCTCAGCTAAGCTCAGTCGGTACCGAGAATTGAGCTAGTCGCGAAGTTCTTTGAGATATGCAATGATTTCATGCCGGTGTTATGAAGTCATTTCACTTAACCCTATTAGTGGCAGGCTCCTGGCTACCCCATATTAGTGGCAGGGGGGGGGGGGCTGTTTACGACCCCCCTTGATCCAGTCTGCAAAACGTGGCAGGGTTCGACGAGATCTCGTCGGGGCAGACACAGTGGGGCAGGGGCAGAAATCGGGGCAGCTTTTGAGAAGTCGGGGCACTGTTGGGCGATTCCGGGGCAGACAGTTTGCAGTCGGGGTGGACCGGGGCGGGGCCAAGGCCCTATATACCGGCGGGGCACACGGTACCGGGAGAAAATAATAAAGAAGCGGAGTATTGTTGAAACGTGCGAGAAAAAGTGGGCTGCGCCACAATCGTCGCTAAAGCGCAGAAACTGTCATTTAAAACTGCTGCCATATTCAAACTTCCCTTCATCAGGGTTAAGAATGTTTTACGCGCCGTGTTTCGTATTAGCAACCAAGGAAAGGTGCTCCCGAGGCTAACTCCTTTCTAGCCTAACCAAATCGAATCAAATCAAATCAAATCAAACCAAACCATACCTAGCCTAATCGAACACTCATAAATGTGCCGTATAACCCTCACATAGTTGCCGTCCGGCCAAATGATGCCGCGCACACGCGACCGGCGACCTACAGATTACGAGACTAGCACACTCGGCTCGGCACACTTGAAACCAAGCCATCAAGCTAGCTGATCACCGTCGAGACTCGAGACAAGGTGTAATTTCAGTTTTTCAATTATGCATTCAGCATTGCGGGCTGGGGCATTGTCCGGGTAGCGCCTATCTTTTGTTGCAAAAACAAAATGCGCCCCTCGCTCCAGATTGATTCGCTGTTGCCATGGCAACATGAGGCAGTTTTGCATCCTAACTGCCCCCGTGTTCGATGTCTCTCGGACGACGAAGATTCTACGTCGTCCGGCCAATCCCGTTCAAGGTCAGCGGGGGCTCGGCTGCGGTTATGGAACGTGATTGGTCGGACGACGTAGAATCTACGTCGTTGAGCAGATCCTTTCGTAAAAAATTGTTTAGAGTTTCAACCGCGACCGACTTCAGCATTTGCACGGGTAATGTATTAATATGTGTGGTTTTTATGCCATATATAGGTAGTTCATTTAGGGCATAATCTAACCTGCCCCGAGTAGATGCCCCATTTGGGGCAGAAATTGGGCTGCCCGGAAGTCAAATGCCCCATTTGGGGCAGGATTCCGGCTGCCCCAAACACCTCGTCGAGCTGGCTGCCACGTTTTGCAGACTGGCCCTTGATATCTCGAGATCTAACCGGCCGATTTTCAAAATTCAAACGGCATTCGATTTGGCTCAACGAGATCTACATTTCTAAAAAAAAAATTAAAAAATGTCAATAGGGGGGTAGAGGGGGGTAAAAATGGGCAAATTGCATATACATTTTAGACTGTTTATCACGGCCAGGTTTCTGAACCAATCTTAACGCAACTTTTGCCGATCGATAGAGAATGAACCAGGAATTCACATGGATCCTAAAAATATGCATTTTCAAAAATCATAGGCGGATACAGATCATTGAGATTGGGGGTACACAAAAAGTATAGTAAATAAGGTTTTTGTTGGTACTGTTTCTAAAAAGGGTGGCAATGGTCTTGTTATGTTACAATTTTCTTATGAGAGAACGACTAAAATTATATTGGTCATGCATAGGCGGTGTCAGGGCACCTATGTTGGGAGGTAAAAAATAACCCCCCTTTTTGGACGCCTGGATCCGCCTATTATAGCAAAAACGTGTCAAAAGAGGATGCACAATAACTTTGTATATGTTATCACATGATACCTTTCATTCACTGTTAGTAAAACTGGTGCAGCATCGTGATCTTCGCCCAAATGATTCGCTTCACGAATAGGACCCCCAATTCCCAGTGCTCTGGAGCCGCCCCTGGTAAAGTTATGAACTTGAAATTTTCAGGGAATGTGCCCAATTTAGTTTTAGGAAAAGCCAGAAAATTTCAGCATCGTAGCTTCAGCGGTTTCGGAGATATTCCCGAAAAACCTGAGGGGTGGATAAAAACAACCCCCCCTGCCACTAATAGGGTTAAGTCCCGCGAAAGTGAGACCGTGTAAGGGCATTGTTTGGTCAAACACTGAGCTTATCCTGTTTTGGACGACGCTGAATAGACCGAAGTGTACCAGTCCATAATCAAGCTGACGAAGAACTTGTGCAGACTAATCGCTAGGCTAAACGGTGCTGTGTGTTAAAGGCCAAATGCTGACTTGTGAGGCCCAGTGTTGAGTTGGAGATCAGAGGCTGACGAAGATAGTAACCTATGCATTAATTGGTGAAAATGACTGTTCACAATGGGTTACCTGGTGTAATAACAGAAGCTTGTTTGTAAATTTGTGGCTGTACACTCGAAGAATGGCATCATTGAGCTATGAGGTCGTTGCCCGGCTTAAGTGTTGGCGAGATATTGTAGCTAAACCACGAATGATCGACTGTAATCATCTGCACGTTAATAAACAAAAAATATCTTATCTATAGTGTGCTGATGAACTTTGCTTGGAAATTGAACGTCGCCGGCTGGAATAATACCCTTGTATTGCACACCATAATTCTGTTTCAATTGCATATAGGGTTTAAAGATATGTAGACATGGGTGGAGAATGTTTGAAAAAGTTACCCCGGCCGGCGACCGATAGTCGCGGGAAGACGATATACTCACGTTGTTCTCAACGGTCATCATCAAACCCCTATTCTGACGCATGGAATACGATGCTGTGTTTGCTCAAGGATGAGCGTTGTATCCGACACCGTATTATTCATAACATTTTTGGAATGATCGAAAAGGCAATTTCCTTTTAAATTATTATTTCTTTTTACTTAAACTTCCAATTTCACACCGAACCCAATTCCCAAACCAAACCATATGCCATTTTGAGTACCTAAATGTTGCGTTTTCAGCTTTTTATTGTGTCTCAAAATAGCTACAAAAAGACAACTCACCATAGTAGAAGCTTTACAGAGAAATTGACAGATCGAACCAAGCAAAGCACTAAAATAGGTCACTGACATCCACGGGCGTAGCCTTTTTCAATGTTGGGCGGCTCTTATAATACAAACAGGGAGTCGATCCAGGAATATCGACCGGTCCCGGTCTCGTAGCTCAGTTGCTAGAGCGTTGGATTCCGCGTGGCGAGAGCACGCGGCCCGGTTACAACAGTCCGAGTTCGAAGCATGATGGCCGCTCGGTGTTTATGAGCACCCTGACGGGTACGCTCATAAACGGGTGTGGTTGCGGTTGGTGGCAGGTCAGTTGAAGGCAATGAGGTCAAGCAGTAGTTTTGAAAAAGTGCGCCGAAGGCGCGCCAAAATTTCGAAACTGAACAGGATGTGAGAGCAATCTTGGCATTGGCGACCACACGCGGGTCTTAGGGTTGGAGATTATGGCAAGTTAAGTAAATGGTAAATACCTACCTGATTTGCAATATTACGCCCATGGAAGTCAACATTCGAAGAGCGTGAGTTTTCTTTTCTCGTATGGGGACAGCTTTTAGGATTTACAAGAGTAGAAAAGTTACCCCGGCCGCGCCGGGGTAGGCTGAAAGTTACCCCGGCCACGGCCGGGGTGGCCGGGGCAGGTTCTCCACCCATGTATGTAGATCGAATAAGTGAGAGTACCTACCAGTATAACGCCTTTTGGGGCGACTAACGGAGCGAGCGAGAGGGTGGGCCTCGCACGTGCGAAATTTCGAGGGGGTACCTCCAACTGACTTGTGCACGGCACCTTACTAACCGGTCTCTAGCGATGTGCCAAATTTGAGCACAATCGGCCCAGCCGTTCTCGAGATCTGGAAGCGGCACCGTGCACGTGCGCACGTGCAAAATGGGTCCCGACTGACTTGTGCACGGCACCCTACTAACTGGTCCCTAACCGTGTACCAAATTTGAGCGCCATCGGTCCAGCCGTTCTCGAGTTCTGGAAAGGACTCCTGCACGTGCGCACGTGCAGCAGCACCCAAACTCTGGCACATGGATATGAAGTGACTAGTGGGTGCCTACCTACATGCCAACTTTCAGCGTAATCGGCCAAGTGGTTACCGAGATATTGCAACAACTACAAAACTGACACCTCTTCGTTTTGCACGTGGCACGTGCATAAGGGGTCACCCACAATCCACATGCATCGGGAATAGTCCAATACTTGGTAGAAGGAATGAAGCTACCCTACAAAAATCACCTCGTGTAAATCGGTCAAGTGGTTGCTGAGATATATGTAAGCCTCGCAAAAGCGTCCGCACGGCCGGCCGGCCGCTCATACTCAGAAATTTCCGTTAATCTAAGGAAAGACTACGCTAGCTTCGCTCGCTGCGTAATAAATGTAGCATAGACCTTTCGTTGTTACTTTGCAATATTCATAAATTTGTTAATCGCTAGTCGTTAAATCGTTAGTATGTTAAAATTAGACACATCTTGCTGAGGGCAATTAAATGCATTAATTGATAAAGTTCATAATTAACGATTAACTATAAGTCCATCAGACACTCAAGCTTTCATTGCAGCGCCTCTCCTGTCGACTATTCGCGATAACTCGACAACACTCAACGCAAGATTATTCAACGATTACCGTAAACCGATTACCACAATACACATCATGTACAAAACGCGGTGTACATAATGTACACCGCATGGGAAAACAAATGAAGAATAAACTTATGACCTCCAATAACCCCTGAGCCCGCAGCCACATAGAGATAATACTTGGTCATTGCCTCATACCGTGATGGCACCCTCGGGTCAACAGATATCACACCCCGGATAAAAAAGGTCGCCTGGAAGCCGGCAGTGATGCGCGGCATGCGTGGCTCTGGTGTCTGACGATGCCGCATCATGGGAGAAACCGGACCGGGACGGGGTGCGCGGCCGGCGCGGCGCCGCTTCATCATGGGAGAGCGGCCCGGGCGGGGATAAATCAGAGGCACAAACAGACCGCCCTCCGCCAGTATTGTGGCTGCCAGTTGCCACCCCGGGCGTTGACCGCTACTAAATACAGCTCAGAGATACAGGCCATGTAATATGAGTGCGCGGATAGCTAA